CCTGAGACCAGACGAAATCCAGGTGTCCTGCTCCTCCGCCATCTTGCTCCGCCCCCCCTTGTTCTCTAAAATGGATGTTTTATTTAATTTGCATTTCCTGGAGTACTTGTAATGTTGAGAAATATGCAGTATAAATCCATTTAGTGTTCATATTCTGTTAATGTTGTCTTCATACTCATCTCCCCCATTTCTTTTGGGTCATACATCCTTGTCTTTCTGTTGTTTCAGTATAAATCCTGTCTCAAAAATGTGATACATTTTGTTCCCACTTTTGTGTAGCCTGTAAGTTTGCACATGCTGTTTCTTCTCACCATACAGTAGTTTAGGTTGGGTGGTATCTTTATAGAAGCATTTACTTTGTTGACCTTTTGTTTCACTCATAGTTTTTTCTTTTTATTAATAGAGATACCATTTCCATTTGTACCACATCACAGATGTGGTCTTCTTTATGTTACTTACTTAATTCTTTCTTGCTCTCTTCCTGTCTTTGAACAAACACAGTATGTTTTTCCATTTTTTAATATCTTCTTAATTTCATTCAGCAATGTTTTGCAGTTTTCAGCATATGATCTTGTACCTCCTTGGGTAAATTTATTTGTAAATAATTTATTCTTTTAATGCTATCCTTCATGGAATTGTTTTCATAATTTCCTTTTCAGATTGTTCATTCCTAGTGTATAGAACTACACTGATTTTTGTGTGTTGGGATCTTGTGTCTTGTTACTTTGATGAATTGATTTATTAGCTCTAATACTTTTCTTGTGGATTCTTTAGGGTTTTCTATATGTGGGATCATGTCATCTTCAAATGACAGTTTTACTTCTTCCTTTCTAACTAGAATGACTTTTATTTCTATTTCTAATTGCTTTGGCTAGAATGTCTAGTACAGTGTTGAGTAGAAGATGCAAAAGCAGGCATCCTTGTCTTATTACTGACCTAAGAAGGAAAAGTTTAAGTGTTTAGATTTCTTTAAAAAAGACTATTTTCCCTTTTTTAAGATCATCTTTTTCCAAACATTTGATTTTCTGCATCATCTCCCCAATACCACTTTTATCTATATGTATTTATTGAGATATAACTTTATGTGCATAAATTTTTGGTGCATGCTAAGCGATTTATTTAGCAAAAGGACTTCAGGCATATACACTCCTCCCTGTAAGCATTAGAGTCTGAGATAAGACATATGCTTGTTCAGTAGTGTATATGATGTGATTAAATATAATGGCAGCACTCACCATTTTTATAAAAACAGTTGTTTCGAACTACGAAATTAAACTGCAAAGTCCTGTTCATTAATATATGGCCAGAGAAATGAGGAATTAATTAATAAACGGCCAGAAAAGTGTCAGGCCTATGAAAGCACGCAGGTAAATGTAAAAATGATTGTATGTGTCTACTGAGCTTCAGCTTTTGGTTGGTAATATAGGTTTTGTTGAAATTAAACAAATAAGATGTGGTTAGCAGAAACCTTATTTTCTGGTTGTAGGGGAATGACCAGCTTTCAGGTAATCTTGATAAATGTTTTTTGTTTGTTTGTTTTGGTTTTTTTTGTTTTGTTTTTTTAAGATTTTATTTGACAGAGAGAGACACAGCGAGAGAGGGAACACAAGCAGGGGTAGAGGAAGAAGCGGCTCCTCACTGAGCAGGGAGCCTGATGTGGGACTCAATCCCAGGACCCTGGGATCATGACCTGAGCTGAAGGCAGACGCTTAACAGACTGAGCCACCGAGGCGTCCCAATCCTGATAAATGTTAATGAATACTTTGTGTTTTTGGTGCTTTCATGATGTTATGACTGCCGGCACTGAAGCAAGACAGGACAGGAGAGAGAGTAAAGGCAGTGAATGTCAGCATTCTTAGGTGGTGTGATTGCAGAACATTTTCCCAATTCCCTTCTCCTAATATGTAACTGATTCCACATATATTTAATTCCTTTCTGCTCACCTCTTGTAGGCTCCTGTATAAATTCATGCTGGGGCTTACTTACATACATTGTCAACTGCATGTTTACGTGTTTTAGAGCCACATAGTTTATGTGGTTTAATTAGGGCTTATTTCAGCAATTAGTGAATTCATTCACAATTTTTCTTTTAGCAAATTCCTTTTTCTAGCACAAATAAAGGAAATATTTGTTTTCTTGATATCTTTCAGGCCAGCAATCTATAAATGAGACCCAGGAATTATTTTCAAAGCAAGATTCATTCGCTGAAGTAACAGATAGAACTTCAAACACAAATTTGGAGTGTTCCGCTTTCAGAGAAAATTGGGATTCCGAAGGTATGTTTGAAAGGAAGCTGGCAGGTCAGGAGACACAATTCAGGCAAGAGGCAATCACTCATAACAAAACCCTCTCTAAGGAAAGAGAACGTACTTTTAATAAATCTGGAAGATGGTTTCATTTGGACATTTCAGAAGAGAGAATTCATAATCGTGATTCAGTTAAGAAAAATTTTCCCAAAAACTCAGTGGTAATAAAACATCCAGGAATTTATGCAGGAAAAAAACTTTTCAAATGCAATGAATGTAAGAAAACTTTTACCCAGAGCTCATCCCTTACTGTTCATCAGAGAATTCATACTGGGGAGAAACCCTATAAATGTAATGAATGTGGAAAGGCCTTCAGTGATGGCTCATCCTTTGCTAGGCATCAAAGATGTCACACTGGCAAGAAGCCTTATGAATGTATCGAATGTGGGAAAGCTTTCATACAGAACACATCCCTTATTCGTCACTGGAGATATTACCACACTGGGGAGAAACCCTTTGATTGCATCGATTGTGGGAAAGCCTTCAGTGATCACATAGGACTTAATCAACATAGGAGAATTCATACTGGAGAGAAACCCTACAAATGTGATGTATGTGACAAATCCTTTAGATATGGCTCATCACTTACTGTACATCAAAGGATTCATACTGGAGAAAAACCATATGAATGTGATGTTTGCAGAAAAGCCTTCAGCCATCATGCATCACTCACTCAACATCAAAGAGTGCATTCTGGAGAAAAGCCTTTTAAATGTAAAGAATGTGGGAAAGCTTTTAGGCAGAATATACACCTTGCTAGTCATTTGAGGATCCATACTGGAGAGAAACCCTTTGAATGTGGGGAATGTGGTAAATCCTTCAGTATCAGTTCACAGCTGGCTACTCATCAGAGAATTCATACTGGAGAGAAGCCCTATGAATGTAAGGTTTGTAGTAAAGCATTCACCCAGAAGGCTCACCTTGCACAGCATCAGAAAACTCATACGGGAGAGAAACCATATGAGTGTAAGGAATGTGGTAAAGCCTTTAGCCAAACCACACACCTTATTCAACACCAGAGGGTTCACACTGGAGAGAAACCCTATAAATGTATCGAATGTGGGAAGGCCTTTGGTGATAACTCATCCTGTACTCAACATCAGAGGCTTCACACTGGCCAGAGACCTTATGAATGTATCGAATGTGGGAAGGCATTCAAGACAAAGTCCTCGCTTATTTGTCATCGCAGAAGTCATACGGGAGAGAAACCTTATGAATGTAGCGCGTGTGGCAAAGCCTTTAGCCATCGTCAGTCCCTTAGTGTCCATCAGAGAATTCATTCTGGAAAGAAACCATATGAATGCAAAGAGTGTAGGAAAACCTTCATCCAAATTGGACATCTTAATCAACATAAAAGAGTCCACACTGGAGAGAGATCCTATAACTATAAGAAAAGCAGAAGAGTCTTCAGGCAGACCGCACACCTTGCTCATCAGAGAATTCATAATGGAGAGTCGTCAGCACGCCCCTCTTTACCTTCCACATCGAATCCTGTGGATCTGCTTCCCAGATTTCTCTGGGGTCCGTCCTCACTCCCATCACCGTAGTCTCAACATTGTTATTTCAGCTGGACTGCTCCATTAGTTTAAAAACTGGTCCCCCTGGTTGGTTGGTTTTGTTGTCCTTTATGAGTTTGTTCTTCACATTGCAGTCAGATTGATTTTTTTTAAGTGTAAATACAATTCATTCACTTCTTAGGTAAAAACTTGTGTTGAGATCCTTTAAATTGGTTAATACGTAAGATGTGCTTAGCACAGTGCCTGGTCCAGACCAAGTGTTGAGTAAAACATTATTTTAGGACATTGAAGAGTTACCACAGTCAGCTCTGAATAAAAATGATGCATAGGAGGAGGCCAGGAGAAACCAGTTTAGATCAGAAACAGGAGTTTCAAGGTAGTCAGCGAGGTTTTGCCAATGGTGGTTTAAAACTTGTTTCCATAATGTTGAGTTAGAACTGTGGTTTCCCATCTCATCTGCATAAATGTAAGGTGATGTGACTTTATTGGTGAGAGAATTCAGCTTTACTATACATCTGACAACAGTCTTAGGAAGTGTGTAGAGAACATGGATCCGTAGGCCTCTTAGAACAAAAGAACTGAAACAATCAGAAAAAAAAAATGCAAGATTTATATGTACAAAGTTAAAACTACTGACATGTTACTCAAGAATTAGAAAATTTGGAAAGATTTGATCTATTTAAAATCACCTGGGCTTATGAATGAACTTGCTTCAACTTTTAAGGAACTGTCAACCTTGAGGTAAACCATTCTAATGTAGGTGTCAGCAGACTAACCCAATGACCACAGTCTCACTGGTTTTCCATGATCTAAATTAAAAATGTTTTTAAATGGTTGAACAAACAAAAAGAATATTTTGTGACAATGTGAAAATTACATTAAATTTAAAGTTCAGTGTCTGTAAATGAAGTTTTATTGGCATACAGACACACTCATTTGTTCACATTTTCCTGTGGCTGCTTTCACTCCACAGTGGCGCAGAGTTGAGTAGCTGCAACAGAGCCAATATGGCCCACAAAGCCTCAAGTATTTACTCGGTCCTCTTACAGAAGAAGTTTGCCAACCCCACTCTGGCACAGAGAAGAATATACTAAAGGTTCTAATTATTTCTAAGTGTATAATACAACTCTCACTTCCAAAACAAGACAAACTATAAGGCAACTTATGAGTAGAGGTGAAAGGGAATTATTAAACTATTGAAATAGGAAAATATGTCCATAGAGGAGAAATACATTTTTCTAGATGAAACACACAGTACTGTGAACGTGTTTGTAAATTGTCATTCACAACAGAGTCCCAGTAGGATATGTTTACTTTGACAGTTTTAGTTGAAACTACCCGAGGAAAGATAATTTGGCAAGCATAGCAGGACATTTTTGAAATAGGTTTCTTTGCATTTCAGATTTTGGTATATAACAAGACTGGTTTTTTGTTATTGGGGGGGGGAATGTTTTGACAGTTGGTTATCCACCCTCTTAAAGAAAAAAAGCACACATACCTTACAGAAAAATATCATGCAATTGTATTTAACATTTCTAATTATGAAATGATATGTAAGAAGCAAACATAAAAAGGAGGACGGCTTTACTACGTAGGACATGGGGTCCTAGAAGACATGAGGAAGGGAGTGAGTTGGCCTGGACAAAGATTTAAAACTTCAGCATGGTGGAAGTCACCAAAAAGACGTAAAAGACAATTGACAAAATAATACAAGTTATATGAAAAAATAGGTCATTTGGGAACAAAGTACCATTATACGTACAAAGAAGTAGGGGGAAAATTGGCAGTGCATACCAACAAGGCATGTTGGTTGAAGAATTCAAATGAATAGAGAAAATCTAAATTTCTTAGCCTTGCTAATCAGAAAATTAAAAATGAAAACAAACTTTCTTGGCTTTCAGATGGATTAAAATCTAAAATTTGGATAATATCCAGTACTGGCATCAGTGTGGGAAAACAGATATTTGATCATTAGCTGTGTAAATTTGTCTCCTTTTTGGATGGCCACATGGTATGACTTATCAACATTATAAATATGTGTTCCTTTTGAAACAATAATCCTAGATCTAGGAATTTTGTCCCATTGGAATAAATAGATGTAAATAATGTTTATTGTAAAATTGTTGTAATTATGATAAATAGGATTTCAGTGTCCTGCCAAGCAGGTTCATTAAACTGTGATTATTCAATACTGTATTGTCTGGTTAGTAGAAAGAGGTTAAATTCTATGTAAGCTTCTATGGAGAGTTGTCCGTCCACAATATATTAAATGAGATATGTGACTTGCAAAACCTAATGTGTGAAATCTTGTAGTCATAGCATCATAATTAATATTGAATATGTATATATGTTCATGTGTGTATATACACATGCTTTTCAGTATATATGTTGAAATCTGCTTTTGTCTTTTTTTAAATTTTTTAAAATTTTTTTAAAGATTTATTTATTTGAGGGGCGCCTGGGTGGCTCAGTCGGTTAAGCGACTGCCTTCGGCTCAGGTCATGATCCTGGGGTCCCGGGATCGAGTCCTGCATCAGGCTCCCTGCTCAGCAGGGAGTCTGCTTCTCCCTCTGACCTTCTTCCCTCTCATGCTCTCTCTCTACCATTCTCTCTCTCTCTCCATAAATAGATAAAAATCTTTAAAAAAAAAAAAGATTTATTTATTTGAGAGAGAGAATGAGATAGCACGAGAGGGGAGAGGGTCAGAGGGAGAAGCAGACTCCCCGCTGAGCAGGGAGCCCGATGTGGGACTCGATCCCGGGACTCCAGGATCATGACCTGAGCCAAAGGCAGTCGCTTAACCGACTGAGCCACCCAGGCGCCCTGAAATCTGTTTTTGTCTTTAACACACACTTTTTCTAGCTCTTTGTTGGCATGTTCATTTTCTGTGGTGTTCCACAGTCACACGTGGATCCAATTAAGCCAATTAGATTTTTATTCTTCGTATTTTGATTGGAGACAGAGGGACAGGAGCAGGGCCAATATTCAGCCTTATATATGGCATAACGGATGTTTTCTTTTAGTGTTCATTGTGATTGGTTGGGGCCCTTTTGTAACTAACTGTTAAGAACGTGAAATATCACTCCTGGGCTGAAGTACTGTAGTTGGAGTTGAGTCATCCTTTGGCAGCAGCATGAAGATTTCTGCGTCCCTACCTACCACTCTGATCCACTAAAACCTTTCTCAGATCCTCGTTCAGTTCTTTAGATCAGTGAGGTACTTGATATTCTTCCAATATTTAAGATTTTATTTATTTATTTGAGAGAGAATGAGAGACAGAGAGAGAGCACATGAGAGGGAAGAGGGTCAGAGGGAGAAGCAGACTCCCCGCTGAGCAGGGAGCCCGATGCGGGACTCGATCCCGGGACTCCAGGATCATGACCTGAGCCGAAGGCAGTTGCTTAACCAACTGAGCTACCCAGGCGCCCCCCAATATTTAATTTCTGATTTTAACTCTGCTTTTGTTCTCAACCAAAGAAAGCTCGTCCACATGGCAACTGATACTGGAGAACGATTAGCAAAGGATAGAGAAGTGGAATATTCAGGACTGATTATTGTCAAAAGATAGAAACTTTTTTTTTAAAGATTTTACTTGACAGAGAGAGACACAGCGAGAGAGGGAACACAAGCAGGGGGAGTGGGAGAGGGAGAAGCAGGCTTCCCGCGGAGCAGGGAGCCCAATGCGGGGCTCGATCCCAGGACCCTGGGACCATGACCTGAGCTGAAGGCAAGTTGCTCAACCGACTGAGCCACCCAGGCACCCCAAAAGATAGAATCTTTTAATTCTATTTGTATTAGGAAAGGCTGTTCTTTTGAGTTTTATTTTAATTCCAGTATAGTTAACACGTGTAATATTAGTTTCAGGTGTATAATAGAGAAAATCTGTAAATTTCTTCCATACAGCACCCAGTGCTCATCAGGACAAGTGCACTCCTTCAACCCCATCACCTGTTTCTCCCGGGCCCCACCCACCTCCACTCTGGTGACCATCAGTTTGTTCTCAGTAATGAAGAGTATTTCTTGGCTTCTCTCTCTGTCTTTCCCCTTTGCTCGTTTGTTTTGATTCTTAAATTCCACACATAAGTGAAATCATATGGTGTTTGTCTTTCTCTGACTTATTTCACCTAGCATAATATTCTCTAGCTCTATCAGTGTCATTGCAAATGGCAATATTTCATTTTTTTTATGGCTGAATATTCCATTGCATATATATACCATATTTTTATCCATTTATCTATTGATGGACACTTAGGCTTCTTCCATAATTTGGCTATTGTAAATAATGCTGCTATAAATATAGACATGCATATATCCCTAGAAAAGGCTATTTTTTTTTTAAAGATTTTATTTATTTGACAGAGAGAGACACAGCAAGAGAGGGAACACAGGCAGGGGGAGTGGGAGAAGAAGCAGCAGGCTTCCTGCTGAGCAGTGAGCCTGAGGCGGGGCTCGATCCCAGGACCCCGGGATCATGCCCTGAGCTGAAGGCAGATGCTTGATGACTGAGCCACCCAGGTGCCCCAAGGCTGTTCTTTTTAAAATATTTGGGGGAGGCATAAGCAGGGGGAAGGCAGAGGGAGAAGCAGACTCCCCATTGAGCAAGGAGCCCAATGTGGGGCTCAATCCCAGGACCCTGGGATCATGACCTGAGCCAAAGGCAGATGCTTGACTGACTGAGCCACCCAGGCACCCTGAAAAAGTTTATTTGTGATACAACAGGATTATAAACCCATAGCACATTAGGGACTAGATAGCTCTTACCAACAACTAAAGGTGACAAGGAATCCTAGTTCCAAAAGCATGTGTGATGCTTGTTTATAATGAAATTAGATAAGTAAAAGGCCACTTGAAATTCTGGCCTTAAGCAAAAATTGAAATGAAGTCTTTATGATTGTGTTGAGAATCATCTTACTCCAACGGGCTGCAGATGCCGAAAGTCAAATGCAACAGTAGATCCAGTTAGTTGCTGAGCTGTGATTTTTACTGAATTCTCAACCTTGCCACTTCTTTTAAATTAAATTTAAGTCTGAGGAAGTCTAAGTCTACATTATTGAAATGGGGTTATCATGAAGGATTCAATCATCTTAGAAAACTTTACTCTCTCAGACTGTAAGAAACCTCCCTACTAATTCTTGTCATACCTTCCAGAGAAGAAACTCTTAAAATGGAGTCTGCTTTTAGTGTCACCATTATGGCTTGAAATTCTGGCCTTAAGCAAAAATTGACCTATAGTTTGAAATAAAGATAGGGAGGAGATTAATCTCACCTTGAAATATTTAATATCCTTTACTAATTATACCATCAAAAATCTAGGCAATATTTTTGGAAATGTATTTTGAGGGTTAGAAATTACTTGCATAGGGGCGCCTGGGTGGCTCAGTCGTTAAGCGTCTGCCTTCGGCTCAGGTCATGATCCCAGGGTCCTGGGATCGAGCCCCACATCGGGCTCCCT